TCACAGTCATATATCATTACATTATTGGGTACAAGCTTTCTTCAGAGCTAGCTTCATCAGGAATCGATGTGTGTGATATTTCGCTTTAATCTTTTACCTCAAAAGACCACTCGACTACTGCAAGTGCACACTGAATCGTATGTAGTATTTAAGGATCGAATCTCACAGAGATTGAGGTTGCAGCACAAGTCTATTAAAAGTAAGAATATGGCTAAGACGAAAAGATATTTGGTTGGTTTTGGAAACGGTTTTGAAACTGAAAAGCAAAGAAAGTAAACATTAGAGATCAAGGAGTTCGTATAAGGTTTAAGGATTGTTTCATTCAAGCATATTAAGAATCTTAGATATGTTACAATCGAATTCATAACTACGAAAGGCGAATAAACGAATTAGCCTAGGTCATAGGACTAACCGGCAAATCTCCTTATACTTCATTTCTCAACTTGTGAAGGCAACAACGCATAGTTCGACGCATTAAGATTGTATTCGCTAAGTACTCTAAGTCCTGTTACTCAACTTATGCAGGCAACAACACGAAGGATTGGTAACACTATGTCCGAAGTTAAGTTTACCCGGTTAGAGCTCCTAACCTCTTGGATCAGGAGCTAGGTAGCGAACCTAACTACGGTGCATTAAGTAAAAGATGTCCCAAAAGAATTACTAAGGGAAAGTAACCCTAGATAAAGCAACTAAACGAATCAATACGATAATCCCATCAACAAAACCCTAGATCTATAACAAAGCAACTAAACAAATAAGAAGAGATGAAAGCTAAGAGAAAACGAAATCATAAATATAAATAGAGAAGTAATAGGGTTCAGAAAGCTCATCTATGAGATACAAAGAGAAGGATCTATCTCCCTTGAAGCAATAGAAAAAGAACAACGAAGAAACTATGAAAGAAAAGTGTTTACATCTATGGTGAAAGCGAAAGAGAGAACTTGCGGCCAAGAGGCCGAGTTCTATGGAGAGAGGTAGGGCCACAGGCCGAATTGTGTCTTCTAGGGCTCCTCAAGGTGTATTTATAGGTTTTCAAGTCTTCCAAGTCGGTTTAGGTTTTTTTCTAAGTCGAAATAAGTGAAACTACGTCGTTTTGGTAAAACCGGGTAAGAGGATGATTTGGACCGGTCACGACACCTTATGACCGGTCCCATGAGTGCCTTGAAACCAGTCACGTGCTTGGTGACCGGTGGTGCTTGCCCCTATGCTCATATCTTCATTCTCCTCTTGCTTCATCTTCGAGCCTGCATGACATGTCTTCAGTGTATTGGCGATAACTCTCTACTAGCTCAATTTTTAGTCTCATTCTACTTGGAGGTGAAAGGTGACTATTTTATCTTTTCAACGACTCCAAGATCATCAATTTTGGTGAAGTGTAAGTCCCACAACGGTCGCCATACATTTGATGCTCTGAATCTGTCCAGAAACGGGGTTTGCTCCTCTTTCAGTCATTTTTACCCAAAAAATCATAAATCCTTCTAAAGCACAAATACTTGAAAACAGCCTTGAAGTATCCAATATCTCTTGATTTCTCCATTGTAAACCAATAAAAATATAGTGAAAGTGGGCGAAATTACGATGAAATCAAGAATCTTCTACCAAATCCAACCTTGAACAATATCGGTTCTTATGAAATTTTGTTCAAGCAAAAGCTGATCTACACCATGCTCCGTGTCTTTGAATCAGCCTGTTATCTATGTTTAAGACCCTTGGAAAGTCCCAAATTCGAACCAAGGTCTCTCCAATGTGTCTTTCTTGGTTAAATGTATATATCAAGACATGATGTCTTTGATGAAGATTTCTACCTTTTTCAACATAAGTATCAGTCATTTGTTCCAAGGTACCACTTTTCTATGTCATAGATGTCTACCATGGTTCAGGATGATATAGAAGCCACTGTGATCCCTCCGACTTCACAAAAGTCAAAGCAGACCGCTCATGTTATTCCTGTACCGGAGCCTGCAACATCAATGTTGCCAGATCAAGTTTCTCTTGACACTGAAAATGATTTAACAAGTGAAACAGAATCATCTAGTGTGACGATGCTATTGGAGAACAACCCACAGTTGCAAACACTTTTGTAGAAGACAAAAGGTCAAGTCAACGCTCATCCAATGAGAACAAGATCCAAAGATGAGATTCACAAACCAAACTCAAGATATGTTCTACTTACCTCTAAATTTGAAACAGAGGAACCTAAATACATTGTAGCTGCACTAAAACATCCTGGATGGAACAATGATGTCAATGATGAAATGAGGACAATTCATATGCTTCACACTGGGTCTTTGGTTCCACCAACTGAAGACATGAACAGTCTAAGCTGCAAATGGGTGTTTAAAACGAAGCTAAAACTAGATGGGTCTGTAGAAAAGTTGAAAGCCAGATTAGTGGCCAAAGAATTTGATCAAGAAAAGGGATTGGATTACTTAGAAATATTCAGTCCAGTTGTTCGAACCACTACTATTCAGATGGTTCTTGACACTGCTACAACAAAGGAATGGAGTATAAAACAACTTGTTTTGATATGTTTTCTTATTTCGCTTACCGTATTCCAAAGCAAGGTTGCAAAGCATCTGAAATCTCGAGTACGATGTTTTCTTTTATATGGTAGATCATACAGGTGGCCAAGAGTTGGCACAAGAATCTCCTCGGATTTACAGGTTTGTTATATCCCACCATCTCTAATATTCATAACTGTTAACATATTCCACCACTTCCACTACTGAATGTATTGCTTATTTCAGGCTGTCTATTAATGTCTTTCTTGGTTTCGATGTGTTTTTTTTTTTGCCTTCTGTATTGCGTTGGCCTTAGTGTTTTGTCATATGCAAATAAAAGATGATGCAAAAGAATGGTATTTATGTCGAGGACTTGACTTAGCAATACGTAGATAGCTACATGAATATAGCTAAAAGAATGGTAAATTTGTCACTCTAAAGGAGGTTCACCGAATCCACATTTTATTGGTAATTTCTTATTCATTTTGCTCTCCAATTTAGAACAGATTGAATTTTATTAAATTTAAAAGAATGAATTCGTTTTAAACATATAGAAGGAAATATATCCATCCAGCTAGAATAATTGCATCTTTCTATAATTATTTGTCCATTTAAACATATAATTATTTGTGCTCAAATCTTCATTCCACATTCACCTTTCTATACAGATGTATCTTTCTATACAGATGTATCTTTCTGTATAGATGTACCTTTCTGTGCAGATGTATCCTTCTGTACAGATGTATCCTGCTGTACAGATGTATCCTTCTGCACAGTTGTATCCGGTTGTACAGATGTATCCTTCTGTACAATTGTATCCTGCTGTACAGATGTATCATTCTGTACAGTGGTTTATATCTGTACAGTCAGTTTTTTTTATACTATGTACAGTGGTCTATAGTATAAATTTTTAAAAAATTATCAAACAAAATGCATATCAAATGATAGAGAAAAAAACATAGATTTTAATGTATCTGATAAATTTTAGAAAAACAAAATTTACTAACGAGCATTTTAATTACGAGACATTGAGGGAATAAGAGGTAATAAATAATAGAAAATAAATTAAAAAAAAATCATGATCCAAGTTTCTCTTTCTTACCCCAATAAAGAAGGGGCATTTTTGTCACTGCACCAGTCCTCTTTTTGCTTTATTAGAGGAGAGTATTTATTAGAGTAATAGTCAAAACGTACTACTTTTACTAATTGTAAATAGTAACCGTACTACTTTTATAATTATGTTTCCAAAACGTACTACTTTACAAACAAACCCTTAATTTATCCACTCATCTTCAACAAATCTACTTTCTTTTCACTAAAGTTTGTTACAACTATTCCCAAAATTTTAGTGATTAAAATGATCTAATATCTTAATGTCAAAAATGAAACACAAAAATTACCGTTCGATAATTGAATTTTTATTTAAAATATTCAAAAATATATGCTAAAATAAGTTTCCTATACGAAAAAGAATCGAATTGACTTATTCACTTAGCTCTTACTTGATTATTTTATTCAAAATAAATAATAAATTATATTATTGTTTGTGGTGCGTCGGAGATGATATTTGGTTTTAACACTGAACAAGGATCGAATCCAAGGAAGAGTAGAGACGCAACAACGGTCTTGTCAGAGGAGAGCATCCACTCGGATTGAGCTAAATCACCATCGAAAATTGTCTTCGACATCTTGTACATCTCACCAAAGTTAAAAGAGCAGAAAACAGAACTGAAAATTAGAGAGCAAGAGGACAATATCGAAAGCTGAGAAGCGTGAGACGAAGGTTTCTCGATGACGGCGAACCAAACCTTCACCAACCTCGGAGATAGTGAGCGATGGAGATGCTTCGGTAATTGGGAGCGCGCCTAGAGCAACCTCTTGCTACTTTCTTAGACATATGTAAATTGTTGTAGTTTATAGTTCAAATAGAATTTAACAGCAAAATCCCAAATTAATTAATTTTTTTAGCTAAATAGTATCTTTCATATAATATGTAGTCTTGGGCCTGAATTCTTATTCTAGTCAATACCCCATATAGTCACCTTTTGGATAATTTTGGTAATACATGATTTAATCCTATCTAAAAACTTGCATTTACACTTGATAAGAATGAAAAAATAATTAAATTAAATTTATGCATTCTTTTTCTAAATTAATTGAAAAAGGTGTTATTTTTTAGAATGTTGTGAATTTAGATTTTATTGTAATAAAAGATATATAAATATCTTTATGATTTCCAAGGCCAAAAATACTTTGAGATCCTTGGTCTTAGGTCAAACATAACTGTCAACTACTTAATCTGATATGTTCTGTTTCACGCCCTTCCAGAATCAGACAACAAAAAAAGTTCGTTGTTCTGTGTTTTCCGAATTTTTTTTAAGAAATTCAACATTAAAAAGAAAACAAATAAAAATCTTTTATTAGCTGAAACCGCGTATGTATCGTAGATTTAGATACAGGCTATAATTATCACACAGTTTCACCTATTTATTTCCGACCATTACTTAACCGTTACTACAACAATTCTTTGCATCATCATTCATCATGGATTCTCCTTACCTTAGAATCTCTCTTTCTTTTGTCTTCTGGGCTTTGCTACTCTCACCGGCTGTGTCACAGTCCTCTTCTTGTTCGTCACAGACATTTTCCGGCGTCAGATCTTACCCTCACTGCCTTGACCTACCTGATCTTAAAGCTTTTCTCCATTACTCTTATGACGCATCTAACACCACTCTCGCCGTTGTTTTCTCTGCTCCACCGTCAAAACCTGGTGGCTGGATCGCTTGGGCTATTAACCCTAAATCCACCGGCATGGCTGGATCTCAAGCCCTTGTTGCCTCTAAGGACCCTAAAACCGGCGTTGCCTCTGTCACGACCCTTAATATCGTCTCTTACAGCTCTCTTGTTCCCTCGAAGCTTTCCTTTGACGTGTGGGATGTTAAGGCGGAGGAGGCGGCTAATGACGGTGGAGCTTTGCGAATCTTTGCGAAGGTGAAGGTTCCGGCGGATTTGGCGGCGAATGGGAAGGTTAACCAGGTTTGGCAGGTCGGTCCGGGAGTGTCCAATGGGAGGATACAGCCTCATGATTTCAGTGGTCCCAATCTCAACTCATTGGGACCGCTCGATTTAACCGGGACCACCCCCGGAGTCCCTGTCTCCGGAGGCGGCGGTGCCGGTAACTCTAGAATTCACAAGAGAAACGTGAGTTTGATTTTTGATTTTTGTTTTTGTTTTTGAAATCATTTTCTCTCAAAATTCAAGAAGAATCAACCATTAGAATGTGTAAATTTGTAGATCCATGGGATATTGAACGCTGTGAGTTGGGGACTTCTATTTCCGATAGGAGCAATGATAGCTAGGTACATGAGAATCTTTGAATCAGCAGATCCTGCTTGGTTTTACCTCCACGTCTCATGCCAATTCTCTGCTTACGCTATCGGTGTTGCCGGATGGGCCACCGGACTCAAGCTTGGTTCTGAATCTAAAGGTATTCAGTACAACACTCACCGGAACATAGGCATCAGTCTCTTCTCTTTGGCCACTCTTCAGGTAAACTAATGCTAATCCTCATTAGGACCAAAGAGTGTTATTTGTTATATTAGTGGATATTGCAAGTTGGCCAATTAAAAAGTTATGTTTTGTTCTGTTATTGAATTATGCTTTGTGTCTTTTTGCGCGTGTTTAAAGATGTTTGCGATGCTGTTGCGGCCAAGGAAGGACCACAAATTTAGATACGTTTGGAATATTTACCACCACGGAGTTGGATACTCTATCCTCATCCTTGGAATCATCAATGTTTTCAAAGGTCTTAGCATCTTGAACCCGAAGCATACTTACAAGACCGCTTATATCGCGGTGATTGGGACCTTAGGAGGCATCACTTTACTCTTGGAAGTTGTTACTTGGGTCATTGTCCTCAAGAGAAAATCTGCCAATTCTACAAAGCCTCTTAAGGCCTAATGGTGTTGGTAATTCAAAGGATTTTTATTGTTTTATTTTCTTTAAGTTAGAAATTGCATTGTATTTCTCCACAAATCATGATTCATCTCTAGACGTTACTTGTTTTGATGATGATGATTATGACTTTTGAGGTTTATTGTATAGTAGAAGAAACACATGTATTAGTGTTTGTTTTTTTGTAACTCTGCCTCTTGTTTCGTGTGTTTTTGTGATTCAGAGTACTTGTAGGGAATTTAAAAACTTTTATTCAATCCTTTTTAGATGTCGTAAATTACCCAACTACTAATATTCTTTGAGATTAGGACAAAACGAAATATGACGAAATGACCAACAAACAGTAATAATCTACGTTGGGGTAAAACACTTGTCATAAGATTCTTATATTTGAACATTTGGAATGATGATATCGTTTATAACTTTAATGTGTCCACCTACTACCGAATCACCTTTAATTACATTACCTTTTTTTTTTATTTTTTATTATGAAATTCAAATTCTAGTTTCGAAACTTTTTCAACGTCTGTTTCCACTTTTCTTTCCTAAAAGGTCGTTTACATTGTCTATCTGAGATTTGACTCATATATACACCGAAATTTGGGGTCACGGTCAAACAAATTAGGAGCAATTGTACAAAATTAATTTAAAATAATATTCATACACCACTTACAAAATAAAACCAATATTTTTTTATTTTTTGGATAGTTTACTTTGCAAAGTTGCGTCGTAAATCAACTGTTTTTTTGTAGTGCGCGACGTAAACCAATATTTTTCTGGTTAAGTTACTGAAGTATTCATATATTGTAATTGATGATAGCTTTAATTTAGACCAGGTATACGTTTTTCGACAAAAAAAAAGGAAAGGAAGAAAAATTTCAAAGATAAGGAAGATATCACAAAACACATAATATTATGTCTATAATTAGTAATACTTTCTCTATTTCATAAAAAATATCGTTTAAGATTTAGCTTTTGTTTTATAAAAAGTGTTGTTCTTAATTTTCCATACATATTAGGAGGATTAGTGGGAGAGGTAATCAATGATAGCTAAACTTTTTTTTTTTTGAATGTAACGTTAAATTATATTCAAAAGAAAAATAACATTTTTACAACTAGTACAACAATGTGTTGGAAAAAAAAAGACAAAATGTATGTGTTAGAAAAAAAAAAGACAAAATTACATTTTGACTAACGCATAAAAAAAAATCTTAACTCCGTGTTTTAGCCAAATTTGAAAGCCCTCCACATACTGCTTGTCGCCCATACTTCTAATTGTTGTAAGCACCGATTTCGAACTTGCTTGTCTATCCACTTGGTGATTTGAGTTCCTGAGTTATACTTTTCGCCATGTCTTCGACCATTTCACTCCCTCCAGATTGCATAGACCGTAGTTTGGAGGACATATCGAACCAAAAACCCTTTAACTCGATTCTGTTGAGGCGCTGAAACATAGGTTATAAGAGTAGACCAATCAGTGGAAAATCTTGCTTTGTGTAGACCCTTGGTGAGAGCAGCCCATATTTCTGAAGTGGATCTGCAGGAGAAGAATAAGTGATCCCAGGTTTATATGGTATTTTGACATAAAAGCACAGTTTCGTAGTGGCGTGTGCAAACAAGACCCACTTGTGCCACGCTACCTTATATAAAGTGAGATAGCTAAACTTTCTGAATAACAAGATATTTAGAATGCTATTTTTATAAGTTCTCAAACCAATAACACTGGATTTTTCTAAGATTTTGAGAATCCATTAACAAGCAAAATGATGTGAGTCAAATTAGACCTAAGACTACTCTCTCAAATAAGAGATCAATTGCAGTACTTTAGGGTCGAAATCCACAAAGCTCTCGTGTTCACACAATAGACTAACAAGTTTTGAATTAAGCTAAACAGAAAATATAAATATTAAAAATAAAAGAAAGCAATTAAATTCGGGTTTTAAAACAGATGAGAAAAACGTCAGGCTTAGAGATTTCTCAGGAAATAAACTAGTAGTAAATCTAGCAAATTAATTAGGATTATTAACGAACCGTTCTAGAACTCAAATCACTAATTTATAGCCAACGAATGAATTGACTAACTAAACCTAATATCAGGAAGTTCCACCTCTCGAATGTTAACTCCTAGAATTAGACTAGCATTAATAACAGGTTTGATTTGTTCAAAGATATTCCTAGACCAACTCTCGAATGAATCTAGTAATTTCTGCCCACCTAAGATAGTTCCAGTAATAGATGACCTCTCGAATCTACCTATTATCCTATGATCAAATTCTAGTTAATTACTCTAGAATTAGCATTAAGAACAATCAAAGATGAAGAACTCTATAGATTTTATCCTAACAGGTTATCGATCTACTAATTCATCTAAATCCCTATTGAGAATCCCTAAACCTAACAAGCAAACTACTCAGACATGGAGATTGAAACAAACAACATGTTATGAATAGAAAGCATAAAGAAATTAAAGAAGAGATTAGAGTTTAGAAAGATCTTCTCTGGAGGAGCTCTCTCCAATTATCTCCCAAAGGTTTCAAGCTCCCAAGAATTACAATAGAATAAAAGTATGAGAGATCTAGAGATCTCAAAGATAGGTCTAAAGAAAAACCCTAAAAACTATTTATAAAGTCTCCAAAACGTGCAGGGACTAAAGTTGCAAATAGGGAAGTCTTCTGGGTTGATTCTTCGGGTTTTAAAACTCTAAACCGTCGAGACTTCTTGTTGGGTCGTGTGTGGTGTCGAGCGACACCAATGGGTGTCGGTCGACACTCAAGCCTTGATCTGATACCAAAATCGTTCCTTAAGCTCTAAATCTCCGGTTTAGCTCCAGAATGGTTCCTTTTCTCCAAATTTGTCCCGAACGTGTAAAAACCTGAAAAGACTCAAAACACTCTAGAAACAACGAAAAGACTCTAAAACTGACACATATATCACGGCTAAAATCGGTAAATTAATCCGTGATATATCACAAAACATCGGACGAGTAAGAGTAAGCTAGATGAGTTGACCAAGATCACTCGTCGATATATTTTTGGCAGCCCCGGCTCTAGGCATGTGCTAGGAGTGCCATGGCACAGGGTCTATTACTTTTTTTTTTTTCTAAATAAAATAGGGTCCAAAATTTGTTTTTTTTCCAAAAACTATAGAGAAAAAAGCCCATTTTTTTTTCCAGCTCAGGGACTTTAATATAATTGAGCCGGCCCTGATTTTTGGATTGGAATAAGCGGCGGTAGTGATACGAGCAAGGTGATGATCTTGTTCAATAGGAAGTAGGAACAATATCCGTTAGTGATACTAGCGCGAAGGCCACACTCAGAATAATCTATGTCAAGAAAGTGTTTTTGTTGACATTATAAGCAACTTCATTGTCAAGAACATAATAAAGAGGCCCAAATTGATATGCTGAAAGAATCGTTGCCACCAAAGACAAGATCATCTACATATACAAACCCACATTACCTAATCGAATCGCACACAAGAAAGGAAATGGAATAATAAAAAACAAACTTTCGGAATCGTACTCTAGAAAATCCATTTTTAAGTGTTGAGAACCAACACGGAGATGCCTAACCAAAGCCATATAGAGACTTACGCATCTTGCACACTAGCTATGGTTATGACAAAGGTGAAAAAACATTGCGGTGGTCGCATATTAATTTCCTCATCCAAAGAACCATAGAAAAATGCATAGTGAACATTCGTTAATGAACTTCCCAGTTGCGAGATGCATCAACATTCAAAAAAAAAAAGCAATCGTTGAAGAGAAGAGTTTTCTGTATATTCATGAGTTACGATTACAAGCATTTAAATAGATTACAAAGGAGAATCTTAGAGAATCTATCTAAATTATATCTATGTATGAACAAACTTAAACCGAAAGATATGGAACAACTTCTTGTTCCGTTTATTGTGGAACAGATCGCATAATCCGCTAATACTCTCCCTCAAGTTGGAGCATGCAGGTCTTCTATGCCCAACTTGCCACAAAACTGTTCGAACTCTCTTTTTCCTAACGGTTTAGTGAATATGTCCGCAAGCTGAGAGTGAGTGTTGACATGTAGCAGCTTAATGTTTTTGGAAAGTACCTCATCTCGCACAAAATGGCAGTCGACCTCTACATGTTTAGTGCGTTCTTGTTCCGTTTATTGTGGAACGGATCGCATAATCCGCTAATAATTGTGGTCATAGAAATGCTCAGAGCAATGTTCTCATCATAATAAATACTCTCCTTTTGACGATTGCCAAAAACAATGAGACTTGCTTTACAACGCTTCTCTGTACATCTGTACCATCATATTTAAAGTTAGCCTAGTTAACCAATTGCTAGCAATAACCTTCTTATCCGGTGGTAAGTCAGTAAGGAACATGTCTTCGAAATTAATTCCAAAAACTAAACCCAACCGTTGTAGATGTTATTGATCAGCAACATGTCACTAAATTAGTTTTAAAACCTAAAGCTAGTCAATATATATCTCACGTATCATAAAAACACATGGTAAAGGTCAAACTAACATCTCACCACAAAACAAAAGACAAAGCAAAGTAGTTCCAATGTAGCTTTCTAAATCACTTCCCCGACTTATGTAGTGAAATCATACAGACTAACATAGTAGATTCAAATCTAACATACGAACACACAACAAACTTAATGAAGTTATTAACCTAACCTAATTAAAACTCGGCAAACATAACATCTCCTCTTTAAATAAAAGACATCAATATTTCAGGAATTGTGGTCATAAAGTAGTTGAACATCTTCCTGAAGCAATATTAATTAGTCTTTGAAAATAATTAAAGAGACACAATCTCCGTCTAAGTATATGTTTCAATCAACTAACTAACCCACTACATTTTGGGTATAGTATCAAGTATAGTAGAAACAGAAAGAACCATGCTCATGATAACAAAGGTTCCCAATACCATTTTTTTATAATCAGAAGTTATGGGCCGATATCCGTACATCTCCAGATCCGATATAAGAGCGGGTTTTAATCTCTTCCCAATTGGACTAGAACTAGATTTTTTTTATTCTTCTCTTTAGGAACCACTAGACCAAGTAGTTTTCCAATACTTACAAAAAATAATTTTGTGACTTAAAGAGATCATGAGATCTTCAACGTTACATAATATAAGAAGAGTAGAAGACCCTTAACATATGACCAATCTTTATCATTAGGCAACCCATTTTTACATTTAGTAGATCAACTTCGTAGACTTTTTATATCCAGTAAATAAAATAAAATAAACTTT